TGAGCAACAAAGTGGGGAAGCACACAGGGACTTCTGCTTTGTCGTGTAAAGATGAACCATGGCAGCGGTCACTTTACACAAACTGAAGGGAGCCGAGGAGGTAATAATTTATCAGACGATATGTTTAAATGATTATGTTCAACTGTGCCACATTAACGCTTTTTATTATGGTAACATGTATATTTATTGCCAAATGCCAAAAAAAAAGAGTGAATGAGTGAGAGGGACAGAGGCCCAGACTCCACAGCTGTTCACTGAAAAGAAAAGTGTTGCAGACAGGAAAGAGCAGGGCTAACAAACACTGACTGACTCTACCGACCCGACGTATCGACCCTGGAGGTTTTCTTTTCTTTCTTTTTTTTTTTTTAAATACATTTATTTCATATTTTTTTGAAGTGTTCAACACAATCTGCGGTATTCTTCCCACCCCCGACACACCGACCCAGCATGGACTAACCTGAGCTACAGCAAGCTCGTGGGCTCTGAAAGAAGGGGCAGCTACACCGGCGCAGCTAAACCCGGCGCGTTGAACTGCCTAAAATTATCCAATCGCAACCTTGCGCCGTGGGCTGCAGGCCCCTCCCTCCAAGCCCGCGCCAGCCTGCAGACTTATTGAGTCGCATTTTAGCTGTATCTTTGTAATTGTCCAATCACAGCCCGGCTGTCTTGACTGTTGTAGTTGAATAGCAGTGGAGAGTAAATCTGGCTAGTTCCTGTGTGAAAGGTAAAGTGTCGACGTTCAGTTGTACCAAAGTGAGCCCTTCTTGTTTCTAATTGGCATTTCTGATCTGCAATCCTTCATTCCCCGACTTACTTTGAGTACTTTTTTTATTTTTATTTCTTTCGTAACACTTCCCTAGATCATAAGCCTGTAATTAACATTTATTGAGGCATAGTGCAATTATGAATGCTATAATCATTGTACATACATCTCTCTCTATATATATTGCAGCATCTTTGTTGGCTTTTTAATCATTACTTTTTTTGTTGTTTTTATTTGTTTTGTTTGTTTGTTTTTTGGCAGATTGAATGTGCGGTATTGAAAATATGTATCTATGTAATTGTATTGTATGTCTAATGGCTAATTCGTTTATGGAAGGAAAACAAAGTTATTTACATGTTTGTTTTGATTTGTTTTTGTAAGAGGAGAATGTAAATTTTGTGTTATGGCAGTTTGATTTCTCAGCGACGAAACATCGTTTAGCTTCAGAACTGCAAAAAGAGGAATATTATTATCCGAGAACAGATCAATTGGTGTGCCAGTACTAGCAGTTTTGTTAAATTGATTTTTATATGGGAAAAACACACAAAAAAACCCCAACTGCAAACTGAATCTAATCTACAGGGCTAATTGTAATAGTTTAGTTCTTAACTGGCTTCAGGAACAGAGCGCTCGTCACATACGTGTAATGACGTCTTCTCTTGCCCATGTCTTTTACGTTTCGTTTCTTTTCACCGCTTTTCAACCAGTATTGATTAACAAGCCTTGCACTTCCTGCACACTTCTCATCCCCACTTCCACCACCACCAAAACCAACCTGCCTCCATTTGTAGCCAAACTGTTTTGTAGTGCAGGAGCGGGAGGTGCGGGCAGGCAATCTGTCGCTTTGTGTCTGATTTTTTTTTTTTGATAAGAAAAAAAAACCTGTGTTACAAAGTTGTAATTATCTTTTTGTTTATGTTAATGGGAATGCCAACATGTTGTTGTTGTTGTTGTTGTTGTTGTTGTTGTTGTTTTTCCCCTATTCTCCCAGATACTGTTAAAAACTCAGTACTGATTCCGTGTACACAAAAGTGCAAGAAATGACTTAACCAATTGGCCTGATTAGCAAGGTGCTTTGTTTCATTTTTACTTGTATTATTATTTTTTTTTACTTCATTTCCACCTTTGATTGCCACTGTTTCACCAGAATGTACAGTATTATTTTAGACTTTATTTATGAAACGACAGCATAAGAGAAAAATACAGTTCATGTGTACATATTGCCTTACTGAATAAGCTGTGCCTCAGACGTCCCATGTGAGGCACCTGTGTTTTTTCGAGAAGTGAAGCTAGTGCAGCCGATATTGTCCTGTTGTGCAGCTGGAGGGTTGTTCAGGGTGTTTTTTTTGGCTCAGTGGTCTTTTCCACTGTCACTCTGTGCTGAAAAGAAACAGCTTTGAAGTGTAGCTCTCATGTAGCTAATGTCACATAAATACATGATATTTTATGCACATTGTGACTGAGTTGTAATCAGAACACGCTTTCTGTTGTTTTCATAATGTTGTCACATCAGATTCTTGTCTTAAAACCCACAGCAGGGTGCGTCTTAAGGCACGGAGCTGCCAGATTAAAGCAGCATTTGCTCCTACGCATCAGGATGTGTAGAATGTGCTTGAAAAGGTGTCACAATCTGGACTCAACCCACCGGCGGCCACCTGCTGGGTGTTGTGTTTTTTTTTCCACATTTGGCTGTGTTTTGGCGTCTGCCAGCCACTCTGGCAGGTTACCAGCCCTCGTTTGGAGGTCCTGTTGTTTTCAGGTATTTCAGCTGGCTGGTGAAATTCCATACATGGATGGTTGAGTTTGGCAGGTGACAAGTTAATTTTCAGTGATATGATTGAATTCAGTGAAGATCTTACAGTAACCACTTATCAACAGCCAGGCCTAACAGGACTGATATTTGGGGCCAGTTTGTGTCAGATGTTGCCAGGGATGAATGTTTTGAAGCTGAACTAAGATTTCAGCTTCATCAGTGCTAATGATCTTCAATTATAGATTTGCAGTGATATCTGATTTTGTTTCCCTGCTGTCAAAAGGTGGCTGTTCACACAAACCCTGCTACTTAAAGGGACAATCCTTGCTTCAAAAATAAACTAAAATAAATAAAAATAAACCACATTTTGCTTTCAGCATACAGAACAGCAACTGCACGCTTATGCGAGCCTTAAAAAAGGATCTCGGATCAGCTGAGATTTCAGCTGATCCGAGATCTCACGTTAACGTTTAGATTTTGTCAGACAGTGAATAAGAAATATATCTCAACTTGCAGAAATGCACATTATGGGCTTTGTCATAAATGTGAGCCACGCAGGACTTGTTTCCAAGATTTGCGAGGGTTGGCGCTCCTGTCATTGTTTGGAGTGAGCACACGTGAGCTATGCTGAGCCTGGATTTTCCCCTTTAAGAGAGCCAAGACTCCAGCTGACGTTGACATGGTGACACACATTGTCGGCCACCTCCGCTGCTGTTCAGAGTTCATGCAGTATGTTCAAGAGCAGTACAGTGTTGTGTACAGTACACTGAGAACTAAAGGGTGGGAGGTGGGAGTGAGAGTGGGGGAAAGCAACCCATAAACTCCTCTTTTACTGAAGTGTCAGACACATCATTTTTATTGCTTTCAGCTCTGTTTTTTTTTTTCTTTTGGGTTTATTTGCATCCGAATCCTTAATATATGAAGTTTGATGACCATTTTTGAAATAGTGTTATGATGATCTCCAATCATAATTGTGTAAAATTGTTTCCTGTATTCATAAATTCGCACTCCTTCAACTTGTTTCTGAATGAAGCAACATATTTCTTTTCAACTCTTGTCGACTGTGATTTTTAAAAACCTTTTTCCTGTGATCACCTCTACACTGTAGTTTCATTTCGATGTTTTTGAATATGTTTGATCAGGTCACCCGAGTGGTTTTGAATTTTAAATACAGTTTGTGTTACAAACTTCTGCAAGCACCAAGAGCGTAGTTTAAGCGAATCTTGTAAAGTAGAACTAAACCCTACAAAGGCCAGTTTAATGGACCGAAGATACTGTAAGGCTCACCACTGAAAGGATGAAATATGAGGTCTTTTTCTCTGTCAGATGGTTAAAAAAGATAGACGGGGAGAAAAAATCAGATGTGGTCTTAATTCACAATCTTCATTTTAAATGGGAGCGAAAACTTTGTTCTAAACTGTTCCCACTACATGCTCAGCTTTGATGATAAATGGAGAGTAAACTGCCTGAAGACTGCTTGTGATTATTTGTTTTATCTAACACTAATTTACAACTTTAGTTGTTTAGTTTTCAACTTTTTCTGAGAAAAAGAAAAGGGTTGGTTAAGTTCAGGGTAATGTTTTCAGAGAATGCTGTTTTATGATTATTAATTATAATCTGGGGCCATCGTGACTCCACCAGTGTGTGTGTGTGTGAGAGAGAGAGTGTGAGAGTGAATGAATAGTGGAATTGTAAAGCGCTTTGAGGGCCCCGAAAAGTGCTATATAAATACAATCCATTGTTGTTATTATTATTATTATTATTATTATTATTATTATTATTAATATTAATGAGACCCAAAGAGCGAGAAGTGTTTACTGGCTCTGTTTCGGGGAGAAACTTGCTTCTTTTAAAAGTACCACTTGAAGGGTAGAACACTTATTTAACTTCATATCCAGAGTCTTAGTACTTCTTTCTTTGTGAACTGGAAAAACAGTTTTCCAGGCATCTTAAAGTAAAAAAAAGAATCCTCATATTTTAATTAGTTGTTATATATGTGAACTTTTCGCTACTTGTGATCATTCGACATATATACTGCCACCACTGACTGCTTATACTCTGGATAAATGCTGTGATTACCTCGCTTATATTCTCAAAAACCCTGCTGCAAGATCACAAAACGGGTGCAAAACACTCATTCCTTCACTGTTGGCCTTCCCGCCCTCTAGCGGGCGTGAGGGCCAGCCAGAGGGGCCCTGCCTCCTCCCTGCTGCCGAACTGCTAAATGCGTTTCCTGTCCCTGGATCTCATGAATTGCGAGTGTGATATTATAGAAACTTCCAAGGAAAGCGAGCACAGCATGGAGCACTTCCAAGAATGAGCTATGGCACTCCATGTCCGATTAAAACTCATCTACAGGTGAATTCCTCATCGCTCACCGTTTCCACAGGTTGTGGCAGCGAACTTCCCATTTTATCCTTTTCTATTTGTAGCCGGTGCCACTCCCTCCCGATTCG